GGTCTTCCTTGTGACAACCAAAGATGCATTTGGGATTAATGTTGGTGGGATCAACAACTCATTACCCATTGGAAACCAATGTGCAGCATAGACCTTCTCAATTTGTGTAATTGAGAACACAGGATCGACATAGTCATAGTGGTTCAATTTTTCAACCTTGCACACCGCTAGCAGTACGATGAGACTTCATACAATATAATTTGACAGCATGTTGCATTTCAGATTTAGTTCGAAACTCCTGGTACAAATATAATGGATCTCCTAAATGCCAGCCACCGTGGATGTCATCGTCGCCATACAATATCTCCGTCTCATCATTAGGGTGAGCCCAATTAATGAACGAATAGTGTGGGCTGTCGTTCCAAAATGGCTCAATCTCAGACCCTACGTCCAAATTTAAACTTATCCGTCAGTACGAAAGAAAACACAAATATATATATATGCAAAATTAAAACTTTATATTACAATCTTACCACTGCTAACAGGGTCAACACGGAGCGGTGGCATAACCTGGGAACTCAAGTTTCCTGAACTAGTATCAGCGTCAAAATTTCCCTCTACGTCCGTATCTGAGGTGTCACCCAGCGGAATAACACTCTCGGGTTCACCATCGTCTTCACTGTCCATATCCTCGTCATGCCCATCCTTATCCTCGTCTATTTCCCTCAGTGGTATCTGACTTAAGACAGGTGCAGGTGCAGATAAACCGACCACTCTGTCTTCTTGACTTTGACTTCTTCCATGCACAGGTGCAGATGAAGATTGACCACAGTCTATTTCAACATATATCTCAATAAAGTTTTGAAATTTTCGGTCCACAATTGCATCTATGACACAATCCACATCTTCATCGTCACATATATCATTACCAATGTAGAATATAGCATCCTTACCAACTGTAGACTCTACCCTGGCGATCATCCGTTGAACGCCATGGCTCCCGTGTAGCCCCAATTTTTGGTTAATCCTCCCCTTCAGCTCATTGTACGTAGTGCCCCGTTTGATTTTCAACATTTTCGTTTTTCCTTCAAATTGAACACCGTTGGGGCCTTCATAATGCTTTCCATCATAGTAAATCATGGTAACATACATGTTTGGACTTGAGCTCATCTTTCACACGAATTTTGGGGGTAGGAATCAGATTTTAGGGGTTAGGGTTCGGATTTGGGGGAAACAATTGAGAAATAAAGGAAAATGACAATGATTTCACAATTACTATGTCTTAGAGGTGGTGGGATGAAATGGAAGGGTGATTGGAAGGTTCCCAGCTGACAAACAAGAGAAAGAGACCAAGAGAGAAGTTTTGATTTCGAATATTTTGAAAATGAGCCCAAGAGAGGTCTGGATATAGGGTTTTTCGCGATCTTTAGTCGACTAAATAATGTGCTTAGTCGACTAAAAGTGCAAACAATTTAGTCGATTAAGATGAGCTTTTAGTCGACTAAAATTCGCGTTTCATAATTTCTGAGTTTAGCCCATTTAGTCGATTAAAAGTGCAACATAATCGACTAAATGAGGGCAGGATGGTGGATAGTTCTGGGGGAGGGGCAAATTGGTTATTAATTATTTAATTAGGGGCAAAAGGGTCAAAAACCCTATATATATATATATTTTGTTAATCAAAAATGTCATTTTTTACAAATTCATATAAACTGTTAGTGAATTATTTATATTTTATAAGGATTTCAACCATTAATCTTTTATCAACGATACTTTACTCTGTCTTTACGTCAAATAACTTCTTCTTTTTAATATTTTCAAACAATTAGTATGAAAGTCATGTGTCCATGGGAATATGCTTTTTTAAGCGAAAAACATGTATTGGTGAGAGATTTTATAAACAATTGGTATGAAAGTCATGAGTCAATGGGAATATGGTTTTTTATAACCCATTCTGGGTATTAGACAGTATGTTTATGGGAAATGTTTTTTTTTTTTTTTTGTATAAAGGAAATGTTTTTTTATGTTATTGGAAATGGGTTATTTTATATTAATGAAATAAAATTATAAGAGAGATTCACAAATAATTAGAGGAAAAAAAATAGAGATATGACCCACTTTTGTTATGTGTGTGTAAGAATTTAATTTATCTCATGTTGAATAAGATAAATATAACCCTAAGTTTATTCCATATCATATGTGTGCACAAATATTCACATTTAAGATATGGGATAAAATTAAAATATAGACATGTAAAAAATCAAATTATTTATAAATAAATAATAAAAAATTAAATATATATTTATATAGAAGAGTTTAACATTTATGTTTTTGCTATAGAAATTTTTTTTTGGTCACACTCACGTAAAAGTGGGGTGTCCCACTTTTATATGAGTGTGGCGGATTTTTTTATAGGAAAAATAAAAATATTTTTCTCTATGGAATCATTTATTCTACCTATTTTTTTGTCTATCACTCTAAAGATCATTAGATCAGAATCTTAATTAATATTTATTTTTTTCTCTCTTCTTTTTATTCTGATCTAACGATATTGAAAAGTAGTAGGCAAAAATAAACAGAAAAAATAATAACTAAAAATGTAGAATAACGTATCCCTTTCTCTGTATATAATATGTGTAATTATGTATATCCAACATTATTATTATTATTTTAAATGGTTAAGGAAAGCAAGCCCGCCATGTTGGAAACAAACTATTATAATGGGTAGAAAAGGACTGCCAGGTAGGTTCCCTCTTCTTTTTTTGGGTCATGAACCAAAAGGAAGCCGCCAGTATTAAAAAATGAATGCTTGGAAAATTCAAAGACATACTATTCACAAGGTCCCATGTTACGGTAAGGTCTTTGATTTAATGATTTAAAAGCTTGGTAGTAGGTACACAGCTTTACTTTAAGGTCTAAAGCAGACCTTATCTTTTGTGGAATAATATAGTAATCTACTTATTAAATTCAATGAAAAATTATTAAAAAAACAAGTTTTGCTCTTCCTTCCACGTGTTGCTTTAATTTGTACTACACTTTTAAAAAAAAAAAACTAAAGCATTAAATTAATTATTTATATTAAGATAAAGGTGAAATAATCCCTTCTCAAAATGTTTATTCTAAAATCTGCATTTAGGATTTGGATTTTTTTAAAAAATATATGCATTACTTTTTAAAAACTCAGAATTAGTTTGTATTTGGATCAATAGCTACAGAAGTATTTTAAATAAAAAATCATATTTTATTTTTTTTCAAAAGTCAAAATCTTGACTTTTTTAAAAGTATTTTTTTGACATTTTTCAAAAAAGAAATTCAAAAATTACATCCAAACACATATAAAGATAAAAAGTACTTTAATTTAAAAAACACATGCAAATAGATATATATATATATATATATATATATATATATATATATAAGGACAAGATTTTTTAATATTAGAGTCAAACTTTTTAGTTTAACATCAAATCTTAACCGCTAATTTCTAAATCTAACAGGTATAATTTATTGGATCACGCTTATTAATTATTTATTTATTTATTCTGAATAAATTATAACGGTTAAATTGATGGAAATCAAAGTTAAAATTTGGTATTAAACTCTTTAATTTGACACTTCATCCAAACCGTTGATTTTCACAAATTTGACGATGACAATTTATTGAGAATTAGTAATTAATTAATGATGTAACTCAATAAATTATCGTCATCAGATTGGCAGAAATTAACGGTTTTGAGAGGTGTTAAATTAAAATTTTTAATATCGATATCTAAGGATCTTGTCCCGTATATCTTATATATATATATATATATATATATATATATATATATATATATATATATATATATATATATATATATATATATATATGGGGAGAGTTATATTTACAAACTTTTTGTTTATAAACTCTTACAAACTACACTATGTTCTTTCGAGAGAACACTAAGTTATACTATGTTCTTCCAGGAGTACTTAGTTTAATGGGAACGGATCCACTTACCATCAAAAAAGTTTACAATTCTTACAACCAATTTAATCACCGTTGATTTCCGTCAATCTAACGGTTATAAATTAATAATATTTATTGTGTCACATTTATTAATTTTCAATAAATTATAACCGTTGGATTGACGGAAATCAACGGTGATTAAATTAGTTGTAAGAGTTGTAAACTTTTTTGATAGTAAGTGGATTCTATCCCTAATTTTATTTGCAAAAATTTATAAATAAAACATTTCCATATATATATATATATATATTAAAGATATTATTTTTCTAATGTTACATTAAAGAGAAATCCTTATGCACATATAAAGTGTAATATAGATCCCACTAAATAGAGAAAATGATACCCAGACGGCCATACCCATATTATTCTTTGAGTGTGCATAAAAAAAAAATTCGAAAAATAATACTCATATATTAATCTTTTACGCATTGATAAGTACATCTCGAAAACAGAACACACATTTATCTTGTAGTCGGATAGTGCACCTAAGAAATTATTATATACAAGATAAATATATATTATTAAATAGTTACTGCTGTGTTTAAAATTAATAAAAATATTCTGATTTATAAATAAATTTTTATTTTCAAATAAAATTTTATAAAAATAAAAGTAAAATTGATTTAAAATCAAGTTGTATATTTTGAAAATACATAATTATAAATAATTATTACGAAAATAATTATTTATGTTCCTGTTTAGTATAAAATGGCTAAACTATTAAGAATGAAATTGTAAACAGAAAAAATTAAAATTAAATAAAGAATAAATTGCATTAACTCTACATAAAAATAATCAAATTAAAAAAGTACATGTACAAAACCTTTCATAACTTTTTATGAAAGTTATTTATTAATTGGATCAATTACTAAATTTCAAATTTAAAAAAAAAAAAAAAAAAAACTTTTCACTTGACAGTAGCATGACAGAAAACTTTAACCACGAACCATGAAATCAAAGGACAATGATTCACGATTCATTGGTCTTTCTCTCTCTTTAAATAGGTATAGATCTGGGGTCTCTTACCACACCAACACGCTCATAATTCAAAACAGAGAAAAAAAAATGAGCTCTCTTAGTGTCTTAACAGTGAAAGCAGCTTTGTGCTGTGTGGTGGTTGTGCTTGGAGCACTACCCTTCTCTTCAGATGCACAGTTAGATCCCTCGTTTTACAAGGATACATGTCCAAAAGTTCATTCACTTGTTCGTGAAGTGCTCAGAAATGTTTCAAAATCTGATCCTCGTATACTTGCCAGTCTCATGAGGGTTCACTTTCATGACTGTTTTGTTCAAGTATGTTTATCTTTCTGTTTTTTTCTTCTTCTCTCCCTTCTCTGATTCGAGTGCTGCCAGACTTATATTGAGTTAAACCATCATTTTTTTTTTATATTTTTAGGAATAAGTCCCATGTCACTTGAATCAATATCATTTTCTTTTGAGTTTGGTGTGAACTCCAAAACCCATTTCATCTTACATCGATCCAAACATTGGAATGTTATTATGAACTTTTTTGCTTTTAGATAATTAAAATGTTAATAATTATATCATGTCGAAGTAAAAATAATTGAAGCAGTACTTTGGAATGTCGACATTTTCTATAAGTGGGACCATATGAGAAATTTATTAAGAGAGGGAACACCAAACATATGTTGATTTATGTTATCAATGTCTGTGACAGGGCTGTGACGCATCAATTTTGTTGAACAACACTGCTACTATTGTGAGCGAACAAGGAGCATTTGGAAATAACAACTCAATAAGAGGTTTGGATGTTGTGAATCAGATTAAGACAGCGGTGGAGAATGCTTGTCCTGGCGTAGTTTCTTGTGCTGATATTCTTGCCCTTGCTGCTGAGATATCTTCTGTTCTGGTATGTCCCATCCTCCTACATTCTAACGAATTTCTAGTAAAAAATGTTGAATTCTATTACTATCTAGTTTATTTATAAAAAGAAAATGAAAAACTTTAAAGTTTAAGATTTTCTTTTTTTCCTGATAGAGAAAGTTACTGGTTAGCATATATTATCAAAATTGTAATGCTTATTCCTTAATCACGCCAAATATATACCTGAACTATAATAACGACATTTTCAAAGAAATAAAATATATATATAAATATATATATGCAGGGACAGGTTATATTTACAAAAAAATTTGTTTACAAACTCTTACAAATTATACTAAGTACGACCGGTCATACTTTAATCATGCAGTGTACGACCGGTCGTACTTAGTGTAATTTGTAAACAGATCATATTCCATGTATATATGCATCGCAATCTATATGAACCAAAAAATATGTTATTGTCCTGTTTGAATCCAAGGCCAAGGGATTACCCAATTTGGGGTAGGGAAGCTCTAAGTGCAGCATTGAGATCTAGAGATGCTTACAATAATATTCCAATACTTAATGTACACAATTCTAATACTCAATTCAATAATGTACACTATAAGTCTATAATTAAGTAAGTATATTAGTGATATTTTTTGTACCAGTAGGCTTTCCCTTTACATATGTTGGCATAGGTAGGGACCTCTTTTTGACCAGGTTCACGGTTGGCGTTCTTACCCTATGAACGCGGGATTTGGTGAGGAAATACTTCGCTCTTTTTGGTTTGGGCCAAGGTGACAGACCTTTGGGTGATGGGGCTTTTGGCTATTGGGCCCAAGCCAAAGCCGAGTCTGGAACACTTTTCATTATACTTTAGCTTATTAAGATTGGATGTTTTGATATTAATTAAAAAAAAAAAAAAGGAAATTCCTTTCTCCATATTCTCTAGTATATTTTTGGAATTTATGTCAATTTTGAATAATGATTCACATACGAAAAGAGATTTTTTATTTTTAAGAATCACTTTCCTTTTATCGTATTTTTCATATTTTTTTAAAAAAAGTCATGAATATGATTTTAGGTGGATTTGATGGTCTCTCTAAATCATGCTCATACGCTAGTTATACCATTTAAGAAGACAGAAAATAAAAATGAGTCAAAACTAGGTTTGATCATTCATATATATAAAAACTTAGCTTTCTTATTTTCTTGGTTTAACTTGTCAGGCTAATGGTCCTGATTGGAAAGTTCCATTAGGAAGAAGGGATAGTTTAACAGCAAACCTAACCCTTGCTAATCAAAATCTCCCATCTCCCGCTTTCAACCTAACTCAACTTATAGACAACTTTGCACGTCAAGGCCTCAACATTACTGATCTAGTTGCACTCTCAGGTATGACATTTTGACCTTTCAGGAAACTTCTTTTAATAAAAATGTTGTACATAAAACAATGGCATTACATATATATATATATGATTGTGCATGTTTCGTTTCCAGGTGCTCATACAATTGGCAGAGCACAATGCAGATTTTTCGTTGCCCGATTATACAATTTCAGCAACACAGGCAACCCTGATCCAACTCTCAACACAACCCTCTTACAATCACTACAAGCAATATGTCCCAATGGTGGAAATGGGACTAATCTCACCAATTTGGACCTAACCACTCCTAATACATTTGACTCCAAATACTACTTCAATCTTCAGCATCAAAATGGCTTGCTTCAAAGTGACCAAGAGTTGTTTTCCACAAGCGGTGCTGCTACCACTCCCATAGTCAACAATTTCAGCAGTAATGAAACTCTTTTCTTTAAAAACTTTGTGGCGTCAATGATAAAAATGGGTAACATTGGAGTGCTAACGGGGTCACAAGGTGAAATCCGAGCTCAGTGTAATTTTGTGAATGGGAATTCCTCAGGACTGGCTACACTGGCCACCAAAGAATCATCAGAAGATGGTACAGTGAGCTCAATCTAAATAAGTTAATAAATGGCCATATATGCTAGCTGGACTACGCAGAGATTAAAAGGTACCAAATAAAGAGTTCTATAGGCACATACTTGTTATGTGCCAGTGGTGGATTGTGATCACGTTTGTAATAATTTGTGTTCTGATTAAGGCTAGCTGTGTTACTATGTTTGTTATATCTGGTTATGAGAATTTTGAGTTCTTTGATGTTGATCTGTTTGCGATGATACTCTGTTGTGGATGAACTATAACAAAGGGACAGAAGCCAAAAGCAAAACAAAACTACATCACAATATAAATCATCCAATTTATGTTAGTAGTCTTCCAAGTTTCTATTTATACACTTAGTAATATTAACTAACAATTTGAATATCTAATTAACTGGAACATCACATTATTTATACAATTCATACCATGAATAGTCTAAATAGTTGCACCAACTAAGAGTAGAACCATATAAGTCAATAACTGTAATTGGTTTTTCTTTTTGGAAATATTCCAATCGGTTTATTGCTTCGCAACTAATCCAATTCGGGGCGGGTTCAGAATTAAGGTTTTAAACTCCTACCAAAGACGGTACTTTCAAACATATGCTCTTACCTCACTTGCTTAACTCCCATGCGCCAACTAAGCTACTACCATATGGTACTGTTGGTTTTACCCAATTAATAATATTCTTGAAAGAAAATACGATTGTGATAGAAGATTTATGTCTATGCTTCATGTTGCCTTGCTAACAGTTGTGCAAGTAATGCGCGCAAGTATACGCGACAACAAGTAATATAGGGCTGTTATAAGTCCCAGTTATCGTTCCCACAAGGATCGTTGGCGTTTTGAAAAATATTGCATGCTGTGTTAAGAATTGAATTTTCAGAATCTCTTTTGTCATTATTCAACAGTCAGTGAGGCACTTATGCATTTGAATTTCACACACTATTTGCTGAGTAGTTTTATGGAATAAAAGGATCATTTAGCTGCCTGGTTTGTGATTGATGGATTGCTGAACTATGTACCCACCTCTGTTCCCTGATCTTTGTGATAATATGATGCACTGAAGTTGGTTTTAAAAGCTGAACATTGAAATGCTGATGAAAATGTTTGAGATTGTTGATTGATTCTGAGTAGCTTTGAATGATGTGATTTGAATGATTGTTAGTTGAAAGAGTGGTTAATTTGATAAATTTTGGATCTAATTTCTTGTGTCACTTGAGGACAAGCAACAGTGTAAGCTTGGGGGTGTGATAAGTCCATGAAATAATACTTACAATGTATGGTTTTTAATATGAAAATGTAAAAAAAGAATACACTTTGTGTTAATAGATACCCCAAATTGAATTAAGGTGGATGATTCTGATTTAAATGCTAATGGGTTTTTTTTCTTATTTGCATTCTTCAGGCCCAATTGTGATACAGCCCAAGGAAAGAAAGGAAAGAGAAAGGAAATAATAGAGAAATGAGAAAGCAAATCAGTGGCCCAAAAGAAAAGAAAAGAAGAAGAGAGAAAGAAGTCAGAATCGTGCGTCTTCTGAAAGAGAAAGAAAAAAACCCTAGCATAGACCGTCTAAGTGAGCCTACTCCATCTCAAGCTCTCCATCACGGTTCCCTCTCTGAATCGAGCAAGTAAACCAAAAACATCCTCTGATTTTCAACCTAGATATAGAACCATCACTTTCCACCACGGTTCAGTTTTTGAATCGGACCAACTTACACAAACCCTAACACCTTGTCTCTCGAACCGAACCCTAACCCTCATACAACCCATTTCCATCGTTTGCACCCTTTCTACCTGATTGACGAACCAAACCACTCAATATCGCAAATAAACCAAAACCTAGCCACTATTTTGGATTCAGAAAAAGCCAAACAAAGATCCGTTACTTAGTGGATGCTGGAGCGATTGTGAGCACACGTCAGTGTACGGTTTGAAGGAACGACAATTCCATCCGATTTGTAAGAGCAGAGGAGTGGAGCACTGTGGGGACCACTCATTTGCAGCAGCGCGTCATATTGCTGAGCTGGAGAAAAAGAGGATAGTGTGCAAAGAGCCCTATAAAAGGGATATAGGAGTGAGTCATGCGGGAGCTCTTCTGTTTTTCTGATTTATGGTTTTTCTTGGTTTTTGTTTTCTGAACAATTTTGAGTTTCTTTTAATTTCTGTTTTGTAATGAGATTCTGGTTCATTTTGATGAACTTGATGCATGTCTTTACAGCACTGAGATTGCCGGTTGTTAGGCCAGTGCTGTAATTGTAGTTTTTAGAATTTTTATTTTGTGAATTCTGTAGTTCTGTTACTGTTTGTAAGCCTCACCCCTATGGATAGTGGCTAACTTTTTAGAGGTTGGGTTTAGGTGATACCCAAACCTCAGTGCTTGTCAAATATTTGATTTCCTGGTTTTAATGTTTATATCTCAGTTGTTTAATGTTGTTTCTAATGTTTAAAATTATCTGCATTTTGGCCAAATGTCAGATGTTTGGTTAGGATTTAGTTGTTGAGAAACAATTAATTCTGGATTCTGCATTAGACACATGAACTTAGATGAGAAATCATCTAAGGGATCTCAATTCAGAAATGAATGAGTCCTCATGTAATAGTGGACCTGAATCTCAAGAGTCCTAATCCCACTTGGCATAGAGATATGGAAGTGGGCAACTTTGGGATAAAATAATTTTTAAGAGATTAAAAATTAACAATACAGTCCTGTTAACAGAGAATCTTAGGATGAGCCTTTTGTTAATCAAATTATTTTTCAAGCATTGTGGGGAAGGAGAGCCAAAAACTCAACCCACCTTTTTAAACATCTTTATCAATTCAGATTTTCCAATTTCCTTTGTTATTTCATATTTCAATCTCTATTCCGTTTTCAAAATTTTTGTCACATCTTTCATTTAAGTTGCTCCATTCTTCATTCTTATTTTATAACTTAAGAAAGTAATTCAGAAAATTTTAAAAGAAAAGTGAACAGTAGTGTTTTAGGTCCATTCTAAATTATTTTTACTTTACAATTTTATATCTTTTATTTTCAAATAGTAACTCAATTTTAAGCAATTACAAATTTTAGTCATTTCAAAACGCCAACGATCCTTGTGGGAACGATAACTGGGACTTATAACAGCCCTATATTACTTGTTGTCGCGTATACTTGCGCGCATTACTTGCACAACTGTTAGCAAGGCAACAAGTTTTTGGCGCCGTTGCCGGGGATCGAGGCGTATATGATCAAGTTTCTGTGTGATTGCTATTTTTGAACTGCTTCTTTTTGCTGTTTTTAGTGTAGCCAAAAACTTGTTGCCTTGCTAACAGTTGTGCAAGTAATGCGCGCAAGTATACGCGACAACAAGTAATATAGGGCTGTTATAAGTCCCAGTTATCGTTCCCACAAGGATCGTTGGCGTTTTGAAATGACTAAAATTTGTAATTGCTTAAAATTGAGTTACTATTTGAAAATAAAAGATATAAAATTGTAAAGTAAAAATAATTTAGAATGGACCTAAAACACTACTGTTCACTTTTCTTTTAAAATTTTCTGAATTACTTTCTTAAGTTATAAAATAAGAATGAAGAATGGAGCAACTTAAATGAAAGATGTGACAAAAATTTTGAAAACGGAATAGAGATTGAAATATGAAATAACAAAGGAAATTGGAAAATCTGAATTGATAAAGATGTTTAAAAAGGTGGGTTGAGTTTTTGGCTCTCCTTCCCCACAATGCTTGAAAAATAATTTGATTAACAAAAGGCTCATCCTAAGATTCTCTGTTAACAGGACTGTATTGTTAATTTTTAATCTCTTAAAAATTATTTTATCCCAAAGTTGCCCACTTCCATATCTCTATGCCAAGTGGGATTAGGACTCTTGAGATTCAGGTCCACTATTACATGAGGACTCATTCATTTCTGAATTGAGATCCCTTAGATGATTTCTCATCTAAGTTCATGTGTCTAATGCAGAATCCAGAATTAATTGTTTCTCAACAACTAAATCCTAACCAAACATCTGACATTTGGCCAAAATGCAGATAATTTTAAACATTAGAAACAACATTAAACAACTGAGATATAAACATTAAAACCAGGAAATCAAATATTTGACAAGCACTGAGGTTTGGGTATCACCTAAACCCAACCTCTAAAAAGTTAGCCACTATCCATAGGGGTGAGGCTTACAAACAGTAACAGAACTACAGAATTCACAAAATAAAAATTCTAAAAACTACAATTACAGCACTGGCCTAACAACCGGCAATCTCAGTGCTGTAAAGACATGCATCAAGTTCATCAAAATGAACCAGAATCTCATTACAAAACAGAAATTAAAAGAAACTCAAAATTGTTCAGAAAACAAAAACTAAGAAAAACCATAAATCAGAAAAACAGAAGAGCTCCCGCATGACTCACTCCTATATCCCTTTTATAGGGCTCTTTGCACACTATCCTCTTTTTCTCCAGCTCAGCAGTATGACGCGCTGCTGCAAATGAGTGGTCCCCACAGTGCTCCACTCCTCTGCTCTTACAAATCGGATGGAATTGTCGTTCCTTCAAACCGTACACTGACGTGTGCTCACAATCGCTCCAGCATCCACTAAGTAACGGATCTTTGTTTGGCTTTTTCTGAATCCAAAATAGTGGCTAGGTTTTGGTTTATTTGCGATATTGAGTGGTTTGGTTCGTCAATCAGGTAGAAAGGGTGCAAACGATGGAAATGGGTTGTATGAGGGTTAGGGTTCGGTTCGAGAGACAAGGTGTTAGGGTTTGTGTAAGTTGGTCTGATTCAAAAACTGAACCGTGGTGGAAAGTGATGGTTCTATATCTAGGTTGAAAATCAGAGGATGTTTTTGGTTTACTTGCTCGATTCAGAGAGGGAACCGTGATGGAGAGCTTGAGATGGAGTAGGCTCACTTAGACGGTCTATGCTAGGGTTTTTTTCTTTCTCTTTCAGAAGACGCACGATTCTGACTTCTTTCTCTCTTCTTCTTTTCTTTTCTTTTGGGCCACTGATTTGCTTTCTCATTTCTCTATTATTTCCTTTCTCTTTCCTTTCTTTCCTTGGGCTGTATCACAATTGGGCCTGAAGAATGCAAATAAGAAAAAAAACCCATTAGCATTTAAATCAGAATCATCCACCTTAATTCAATTTGGGGTATCTATTAACACAAAGTGTATTCTTTTTTTACATTTTCATATTAAAAACCATACATTGTAAGTATTATTTCATGGACTTATCACTTCACATGAAAATATGTCACGTATAAAATACATTAATTAATCGTCCATTTTAAGATTGCTAGACCTAAAACTTCGTGCCAAAATACTTGCAATTCATTCATTAAAAGGCAGCAAATAATTTTTTTTAATTCTAACTAAATTTTCCATAAAAAAAAAAAATCGTATAATACACAAGATTCTTATTAATATGCATATATTTTACTTTTGGGCATATGCAAGCAACATTTTAATCTTAATGATTGAGGGGTTTTTACAATGCTAAAAGTTCGAGTTGATGAGAAAGCACTCATGAAGAAGGACAACCTCAATATCCCAAGTGGGGATTACTCTCACATGCAAAATAGTGTAGAGAAACCTTGTAGGAAAAAAAAAATTGTGAAAAACATATAACAAGTGATCAGCGTCCAGCGACGACTCAGGAAACAAATCATAGGGTGAAAGTAATGTTAAACTTTCAAAGAACTTCTTCAACAATAAGTAAATTGCAAAATACCCTCTTGGGGTTCAAAATTTAACAAATCGTCTCCTAAACTTGTTAAATTGGATATATTAATTTAATATAACTCCATACAAATAAAAATAAAAAAATTGTACATTCGAGAGGTTAAATTTATATTGCTTTACACGATTTGATAAGTTTGGGAAATTAAGTTAATTACTTAAACTACGTGATGAGTTTTATGTATTGGGAGTTCAAACGTGAATAATAAAGTTTTCTAATTGTGTAACATTATGTAATTAGCTTATAATTCGAGAAGATTGCATATATTTTAACATGAGAATAAATATCTAGCGTAAATATAATGAAAAAAATTGTTTCTATCATTTCAAATATATATATATATATATATATATATATATATATATATATATATATATGGTTCTTTTTTTCTGCAGTTACTGCAAATAACTTATCTGCAGTAAATCAATACGACGTCGTTTTGGAGCGGAAATTATGGTGTTTTTGTAATTTTAATTTATTTCAGGGTTATAATAGTTTTTATATTTATAATTTTTTAAGATTTCAATACCAAAACGACGTCGTTTTGGGAATAAATGCAGATAACTTATCTGCATTAACTGCAGATAACTTATCTGCATTAACTGCAGAAACATTTTTCCCATATATTTATCGAAAAATATTTCTCAAACTGCTTGAGATAAGTTTATCTCCGGCCATCCCAAAACTACGTCGTTTTGTTTATTTTTTTCTTTATATTAATTGATTCACCTTTAAATGGTTATGATTCTCTTTTTCTCTCTTCCTTTATCACCATTGATCCATCTTTGTACGGTTATGATTTAGTAGCCGGAGATAACATTGTCTCAAGCAGTTTGAGAAACGATAAGCCCATATATATATATATATATATATATATATATATATACTTACAATCTTTTTTCTTTACAACCTCTTACAACTATATCTTAACACCGTTGATTTCCGTCAATCAACGGTTATCATTTATTATGAATTAATAATTAATTAATGAGTTTAATCTGTAAAAATCATAACTGTTGATTGGCGAAAATCAACGGTGTTAAGATATGGTTGTAAGAGGTTGTAAAAAAAAAGATTGTAAATATAATCTTCTTCTATATATATATAGATATAGATATCTATATCTATATATTCGATGGAACGAAATTATCATTCCATCTATTTTGAAATAAGTATAATATTCATACTATCATTTTTTTTCTATTACTATTCTAATCACTATTGGATTAGAAAAAAAGTTGAATAAAAAAAGAAAAAATAATAATTTTTAAATCCAACGATAATTAGAATAATAATAAAAAAATTGATAATATAAATATTCTTTCTCTTGAAATAATAGTTATTCCATCAGCATCACTTATATAAGTTATGGATACATTTATAGAGAATGACTATTCAATTAATATAATGATGAAAATCAAACATAATTAACACTCACTTAACTGCGATGATACCAGTAGACTATACTAGAAGGGAAAAGTATTTCTTTGATCACCGGAGATAAAATTATTTCTAGTAAATTTAAAATGATGTTATTTTGGGTGATAAAATTTAAAAATTATGAAGATAAGGACTAATATTATCCTGCAATATATTAGAATTATAAAAATACTTTAATTTCCACCTCAAAACGACGTTATTTCAAATTCACTGGAAATAACTTATTTCGAATATATATATATATATATTTTTTGGTAAGCACGACAAAATCCTTTACTCATATTAGAAACGTGCAAATCAGGCAGATTCTAATTATTTGATGTAAAGGTTATAAATTATAACATCTGACATTGAATTTTTTTTGGAAAATTTTTTGTACAGATAACGGTAGTTTGAGAGTACTAGAGCTATTTTCAATTCATTAAACTCAAAGAAAAAGAAAAAGAAAATTACTAGCTATAAAATATAAAAGAAAACATATTTATCCTTTTAAAAAGATGTTATTTTAGTTAAAATAAATTTATTTTTATTTGAAATTTAAATTAAAAAATCGCTCATTTTCTTCGATAATTTTCATTGTATATATTTTTTCAAACACAATTCTATATTATTTAAAAGTAGAAACACCAAATCCAAATTATAATTATAATTATTACATAAGTCAAAGCCAAGCAAAGCAGCCTTTAACATAATTTAAGAAAAATAATTAAATATTATTTTGAATTAACAAAAAAGATATATAATTAAAAAGAATGATTTACCAAAAAAAAAAAAAAAAGAATGAAAAATTGTAAATAGAGGGACAGAGTACCATGTTTCTCTAACTTTCTTAAACCCTAGCTACTTCCTGTGTATCGTTATGTTCTGGTTCTGAAAAACCCTACACTACACATTAACATTCTCTGCATCGCAAATTGTAAACATTGAATCATGCCTGGGAAGAATCGTAAGAAGAAGGACAATGACCCTTTCTTCGGTAACGATTCCCGGAAACGCCGCAAACCCAACGACCAAGTTGACGGCGACGGTGGCGGCGCCGACGACGAAGAGATAGAAAGCGACTTCGACGAAGACGGATTCTTTGCCGGCGACGGCGAAGAGGAATCCGAGGAAGAAACAGGGGCAGAAGCGAGGAAGAGAATCGCACAGGACTATTTGCAAAGGGTTCGGCAAATCGCGCAGAAAGAAAAGGAACGAGAACAAGATGAAGAAGGAGAAGGAGAAGAAGAAGAAGAAGAAGAGGAAGGAGCAAGAGACTCACTCGTAGCTGAGAAATTGATAAAGGAACAGCAAGAAGAGAGTGGACGCGTTAGGAGAGCCATTGCTTCAAGGTTTGATTTTATATTGATTTCACATTCTTCACCTATTGCTTGTGTTTGTGTTTGTGTTTCAATTTTGGATGTAACCCTAAGGGTATTGCTTGTTTGATGGAATGTGGTTTTATAGTGTGGAAGTTGGTGGTGAATTTGGAGTGTTGGTGAAGCACCGGCATAGTGTCACTGCTGTGGCTTTGTCTGAGGATGATTTGAAGGGCTTTTCGGCTTCCAAAGATGGAAGCATTATGCAATGGGATGTGAATAGTGGGAAATGTGAGAGATATAAGTGGCCCTCTGATTCTGTGCTGAGGTCTCATGGTTTGAAGGATCCTCAAGGTTCAGCTACAAGGCAAAGTAAACATGTATTGGCCTTGTCTGTGAGTTCTGATGGTCGTTATTTGTCAACTGGGGGCCTCGACCGCCATGTTCATATATGGGATACGCGAACCAGAGAGCATCTTCAGGTAGCTCTTCCTTCTTTGAAATGAATAATGTGAGGTGAAAAGTGACTGAAAAGCAATTGGTGAGATTGGAATGGTTGATAGTTATTTGCTGTTTGTATGGATATGGACTGATCATGGGGAATATGTACTTTGCATGTCTGGTGATAATGACATACTTTCTTAAATGAAAATGCCTCACCATTGTTGTCATGTCTGTTGCTCTATCAGAATGCTTGGATAATTCTACATGAATTTTGTGTTTCAGTGGATAGTGAGTTGATTTGGAATGAATGTACACAATATCATACATGTGGATTGACAAAGTGAAACCTAGACTAATTGACTTACTTTAATTTGTAATTATCTTGTTGACACAGTATTCTTAGCATCTGCAAAATCATAGGCCTCTTTATAACTGAAGTTTTTGGGTCTTGGACTGTTGAGTTGGGACTTGCTATTATTAGGTTTTTAATTTTGTCTTATGTCTTTTACAGGCTTTTCCAGGTCATAGAGGCCCTGTCTCTTGTCTGACTTTTAGGCAAGGAACTTCAGAGCTTTTTTCTGGTTCATTTGATCGAACAATTAAGATATGGAATGTTGAAGACAGAACATACATGAATACTCTATTTGGCCACCAAAGTGAAGTATTAAGTATTGATTGCTTACGCAAAGAAAGGGTACTAACCGCCGGACGTGATCGTAGCATGCAGTTGTTTAAGGTAATCTCAACAAAGGGAGGTATTTAGTATTTGGTTATGAACTGTCTTGTATGTTAGATTTTTCGTACTTTCTCCTGCTGTTGCTCTGTTTTTTTGCTTTCTATTTTTTTTTAGTAGATGTTGTTTTCTATCTTTTTTGTGTATGGAAAACTTTTTATCAGCTAAGGACTGTTTCTTGGGCTTTTCTCATTTCACTTTTAGACTTGTTTCTGACTGTTTGTTGACATGTTTTCTCTCCAATATAGGTTCATGAAGAATCACGTCTTGTATTTCGCGCTCCTGCATCTTCCTTAGAATGCTGTTGTTTTGTTAATAATGAAGAACTCTTGTCTGGTTCGGATGATGGAAGCATTCAGCTTTGGACTGTGATGCGAAAGAAGCCTGTTTACATTTTGAGGAATGCTCATTCCTTACTGACAGATAGCATAAAATCTGACCAAAATGATAGTGCAAGACACCCGAACGGTAACTTAGGTAAGCCTTTAAATATTCTGTGCGTATAACTTTTCCTTGTAAGTCAGATGTCTCAAAATATAAATGGTTCAGTTAGTTAAATTAAATTTTGTTCGAGCAAAATACTTTTGATGTGTGCAGCAACATTTTTTCTTTTCTTTGCCTGCTTTTCTGAAAATGTTGTGTGATCCTGTATTCATTTACTTCTTAACTGTATCTGTGAGAGGACAAAGAACAGTATATTTTCTGTTAGTATCAAGTTTTGTGCTAGTTAACTTAAAATCCTAAAGTAATACCATTATCTTCACTCTGCAGAAAATGGTTACCACGAGAATCATCATCGTTCGTCAGTATTATCTTGGGTCAGTGCAGTCACTGTCTGTAGAAACAGTGACCTTGCTGCATCTGGGGCTGGTAATGGTTCTGTTCGATTATGGGCAGTTCAAAGTGAGACCAAGGACGTTAAATCTCTTTATAATGTGCCATTGGTAAGTAAAAGACAACTAAACTCAGTTGCCTTTTTCCTAGATAGATTTTGTTTAGATGTTGAATATAGTTTTCGTTGAAAGGTTGTTGAATGTAGCTTCTTTTGTAAATCGCTTGTTATTTATTAAATAGCTTTCTTCTCTTCTGTACAAATCTTACTTTTTATGCCATGTAACGTTAAGTTTGCTTGAAGCATAGAGTATACAGAACATAGAAAACCTGCTTGCACTGATTATTACAAGTTTGTACATAGAATTTGTATTTTTATGTGAAAAATGAAGTATCACTTTTAAATTAAAAATTAATTTCGAAACATGTTAAACTTCATCTTTCTATTATTGGATTCACATTTGTGCTGAGTTTTATATGCAGTTAAAAATCCACTGGCATTTAACTAAACCTTTTTCGTCACAGGTTGGGTTTGTGAATTCCCTGGCTTTTGCAAAATCAGCAAAATTCCTAGTTGCTGGAGTTGGGCAGGTGAAGTTTTGCTCAAACTGTTTTCTTCTTCTTATAATAGTATGCTCTATTTCTTTTTTGGTGGACATTTTACTGAGTTGCTCTGAAACACTGATTATTTGTCATTGACCGAAGAGCTATCTTAGCCTTTCAAATTTTTGCTTTGCAAGTTAGACAGTTAGTTATTAAGGGTTAGTATAGTAATAATGAAAGTGACTTGGGGTTAAGTTTTCTTATGTATATGACTCAATTCATAGTAATTTGTGAATTTGTTGTGTACTATCTAACTCCTTTGTTTTCCCTTTTTTATTTCCTCTCCCTAAAACTGTCTGGTTTCCAACATATTTGATTAAGAGTAGCCATCACACTGACAATTTGCTAGTTGTTAGCTTGTGATTGTGAGTCTTCTCTAATATCAAGTGATTAAAATGGTAAAATGAGTCTTCTCTAGTATCCTTCTATATGTTTTGTTGCTCCCTTTGCACGCCGTTATTACACTGTACTAAAACTAGTGGTTTTTTCTTCTAACATGATATGATGTCTTCGTCGACAGGAACCTCGTCTAGGAAGGTGGGGACGTACCCCTGAAGCTCGGAACGGAGTTTCCATTCTTCCTCTTAAGTTATGAGATGATGAGGCAATGAGATTGTACCTCCTCAATTTTGACTAAATACAAAATGCAACAGAGTTGAAAGATGTCTGTCCGTGATCTTTTATTATATGTATTAATAAAATTAATTTTTTTTACCTTCTAATAGATATCTTCAGTTTAGTTTCCGTTTGTATTTTGAAATCCCGAAATGTGATTCCTACTTTGGAAAAGGCACTAAAGAGTACGTAAAGGGGATAGGGACCCAAGCTGAAATTTTTTGGGTAAAACCACTCAATTGAGCCACATGAACATGTCAAGGTGACGTGGTTCTCCGGTGGAAGTAATCGTGGGAATGGCACAACCTCTTGTATTTTTTAGGCAACGAGTTTGATTCATGTATTTTCTGCACCTTGTGCACAGGAGAGTTTTATAACGTTAAGCTGACATTAAATCTTTCATTAAAACAATTATAATCATTTCATGCATGTTTGTTTTAGACTTTGCTATATCATATCTTGTTTGAGCGCTCAAACAAGATTGTAGAACACATGCTTGAAGTGCATGTGTTGAAAGAAAGCGACACGGATACAAGAATTCCTTTATAGTAATTATTTTCATGTCTTTCTTGGGTTATAAAATGATTTTATTTTTTATCATTTAATTGACTTTGAATACAAAATTGGGCTGACGTACAACACTAAAATCTCTGTCATACTATAATCAATAATGAATTTACCATGCTTTTACAAAAGCTCGGGTTAATTTTAAGTTACAAGACTAAAATTACCAAAATTATAAATCTCATTTACTGTAAATCTCATTTACCAAAATTAAAATTATAAATCTTAAGGAACTTTTGATTCGTTCATTCATAGTCATTAGACGTCAAAGGGGAACAGCAGCAATTTCATATTCAGAGCAATATTACAATCTTATTAGATAGCTGCTCTTTAAAAAGGCCAGTGCATCGCAATTCGGCGTAACTCGTTAAATCTTATTAGATAGTCATCTCAAGTTGATTTGGAAGAAACTTATACCATATACTGGAGCAAGTCAGTACAAGTTTCAGAACACGAAGATCAAAGTATATTACAACTGTAATGAATCTTATTCATCTGGGAACTCAATTACAAAGCACCCCCTCCATTTTTTTCTTCTCTTTCTCATTTCAGCACGCATTCGGAAGTGCAGGTCCATATCAACAATCTCACCAAGCTTCGCAATGGTAAACATCCACGAGACCCGAGCTAGAGTTAACCACTTGGGTTAGGAATTTCCTATAAAAAAATCATATGGGGTTACTTTGAGAGAATGAACAAGTCAGTCAACGAACTCATTTCAATACCGAAACACTTGCAACGAAGTGACGTATTATATGAACAGTTAAACATGAAAAAGGTGAAAACTCAGCAGCTCCTAATTGGGCAAACTAAATATTGATATGAACAGGTGTAGAACTCAGTAGCACCTAACAGCATGAGCTAAAGCCTCATCAAACACAGAATTTCTAGCTTCAGAAGTAGGTGAGAATAAAAAAATCAATATTCCTAATAAAAATAAAACAGCGCGAACAGAGGTCCTAAATACTCTTGCCCAGCCAGACTCCAGGACGTATCTTCCCACCTGGTTAACATTGCGTAGTTAGCCACCCAAAGCCAATTCACAGGAATTTACATTAGCTACTCATATGCTCGACTACTTTTTCATCGTCTGTTGTGTCCTTTTTACTGTCTCCAACTTCAGCCAATGCTGCATCCGCAGAAGATGAACTTGGATTTTCACTTCCTGTTTCAGTTGGCTGAGTGTTTTCAGTGCTTGGGTTCTCATTGACAGATGCTGATGGTTCAGCAGCTACGTGTTCATCCTTTGTCAATGCAACACTGGATGACGGAGATAATGACTCAGCTGCATTATTGTTCCCCGATTGCGTCTCAAGTTCTCCATTGGGAAGAACATCAGAAGGGTCAATGGCATCTGAAGATTCCCTCCATTCAACCCACTCGACTGGTTTATCCGTTCCACCATGTTCTAATTTTGGTCCTGCTTCTGGAGAAGATGTTGCAGTGTCAGCTAAGTCCTCATCTTCACCAGCAATAACATTATCATCTCCACTGGTATTGATAGCACCCTCCTCAACATTGGGTGATGGAGACGCGAGGGAGCCAGTTGAGCGTTCATTGGCTACTCTATCTCTATCCTCCTCAAAAGCAAACCAGTTGGAATTTGTGAAGAGAGACCCACTGCACTTGCCAAGAAAAAATATAAGGTGTATGTGGAAAAAATGTATAAATACATTATAAAAGATACCAGGCATGACATCTGAAGTAGAAAACCAACACATAAATGATCAGCAAAGGCACACGATTTACCTTTCATGGTCATCTCCCAACCGCAAAGAAGATATAACAACTTCTGCAGATTCATCATCAAAATAGACATCCTGCCATATACAATTTATATCAGATATTTTGTATGATTATTATAAAGAATCATTTCAACCCAAAAGCTTACACTATTAGGTGAAGACCAAATTAATGGTTTTATATCATATTTCTATCATAAATCAAATCTCAAACAAAAGAAATCATGATAAATCACCATAAAAAAAAAGACAAGATAAACATGAGAATATATGCTCTGACTGCAGACTTAGATGAAAGCACCATCAGACCACAAGGTATGACCAATGTTGTTAAAACGTAGATAAACCATCAAAACGGATTGACGGCCGGATGGCCCGCCGGGTCTTTTTTTTTTTTTTTTTAACTATAAGGTAGTATTTTATTTGTCACTAAGCTTTTGCAATATCCAATTTTTTTTATCTTAGTACTCCCCTAGAAAAAATAAAGAAGAAAAACTTTATTTATGACAAAGGTTATCCATATATGGAGGCAAAAATAAGTTTCTAAAGAATGTCTGACTAAATATTTACATACATTTAGGCTTGAGATTGGAAAAAAAACTAAAGGAAGTGTAAAATGAAAATAAGTAATATTATAAAATTCATAAAATATAATTTATTTTTAATTCTTAATTATTTAGGCGGTTTGACCCGCCAACCCACCATAAAACGGGGTGGGTTGGGCTTTGCAACCCACGTTCAAGAGGCGGGACGGGGTGGGTCAACCTGTTTTTGGCGAGTTGGCGGTGGGTCGGGGCGGGGCGACCTGTTTTGCCACCTTATTAAGAAATAAGGTCGCAGATGAAGACTTTAGAGTAGACTTTGTGAAACATATACACACACATCAAGTCGCAGTAGTGAGGTGTTAGTGTTCCCAAATGTGCAAGCTCATATTGGTGTTCCTCACCCTCATTCCTCTACTCTGCAGCTCCTTCTCTCTCGATAGACAAACTCAGATTGGCGAGTCCTCATTTTGCTCGATGATTTCGCCGTCAAATCCTCTCACTCTCTCTTCTTCAAGTCTCTACAATCTCGGGGCTTCGATCTCGATTTCAAGCTTGCCAATGACCCCAAGATTGCGCTCCAGAGATACAGCTATTACCTCTACAATGCCTTAATTTTGTTTTGCACAAAAACACCCTCCACTTTTTTTATTTATTTTTTCAGTACTGAGTCAACTCAGTAAACTCATCGAGTCAACCAAGTGAACTCGGCGTTTCAACACAAATTCTGTTTCAACCATCGTTCTGACACGTTTTTAGACCAAAAAAAGTAGAAACGGACGTTTCTACGTGTTGGAATGACGTTTTAACAACAATGAGTATGACTCAGTTGGCAACCTAAGCTTCAAATAGGTTAATATTATATGAAGTGCAAAAAAAAGTATTCAACCAAATTAGTTCATATGAAAAAAATAAAAATCTTCAATTCCCCTAACTCACTTGAGAATAAGTTATATTAGAATCTTCATAATAATTGAAGAATCTCCCAAATTTTGTAAGCATCTAAAAGAAGCAAGGTCTTAGCTGATTTCAAAAGATATGGAGACTATAACATTACAAATTAATGGCAAGATAATGTATGTACAATGTACTAGTGAGGTGAACCCACCTAATATACTAATGAAGAAAAACTTGTAAGCAATTCAGATTACTCTTTCCATTTAGACCAATTTGATTAATAAGAAAACTTGTCCGGATTATTAGCTTCCACAGATTCAATTTTACATTCATTTCAATCCATCTCCAAGACCACAGATGACACTTCAGAGGAAAATAAAAGTATACCTCATCATCTCGTTCAAGAGAGCCGTGAACCTGAAATCAGCAATCAACCAATGACCCAAAATCATGAAAAGCGATAATATCAAACCAACCATAAATAAAACAGGACCATAATAAAAAAGTACTAAAATTGACATAATCCATCAAGAGTTTATCTTTCTATAATAAAATAAATAGTCATGAATGATTAGGAAAGTAACACTTAACCACTAAGAAAGAGTTAACCAAGCTACTAAGTAAAATGCGCAAAAAGAACGAATTGACCATTTGGGACAAAATTTACATCAGCAATTTGGCACAAAAAGTAGCAGCTGGTGTTACATAATTACAGAACATACAGTATTAACTCCTATAAAAGCTCCTGAAAGTCAAGCAAATTCCAAAAATGCTGGTAAATCTATGTACTTTTCACTCTACTCTGATCTTCTTAGGATGGAGACGATATTACTGTTGAAAATCACTTTCTCACATAGGTGGTGTTAACTACCTAACAGAAAATATCAGATATTACTTTTTTAGGTCTTCTTGAATCCAGAAGAAAGCCATTAAATTTTCAGTTAAATCTTCTAATATGACACTCCACACAAATCATCTTTACAGGTATTTTGTATACTTCTGGCTAAGGTTATCAAATCACAATTCAAATCGTGAATAGCTAAGTTAATTTTTGAATTACGAATCATAGATCATATCAAATCGTACTATTCAAAGAAATGAAAAATAGCTCGATGTACATCATTCTCAATGTAGTAACTTTAGACTAGGAACTAGGAATTGACAAAAGAACTTAACCATAAGTCTCAAAAAAAAAAAATCACGTCATAAGGCATAACTGAGTCACATAAGTGACTGCATGAAGCTTATGGTTCAGAAGACTGAAAATAGAGCAATGGTATAGCCAAACTAGGTGCATATAGAATGGGCAAGTGTCTATTGAAGCCATTGTTTATGAAGAATAAAAACAAAGCAATGGAATAGCCAAATTGGAGGCATAAAGTGAGTGAGTGATTGTGTGAGGTCCCTGTTTCAGAAGAATGGAAATAAGGCAATTAAATAATCAAATAGGATGCATTTAATGATATTCCTTTCAATTTAACAAATTTAAACTTATTTGGCTTTTCAATTTATTTTATGAAAATTGATGAAAGAAAAGCAAAACAGAAACGAAAAAAAATTATAAATCATTGAATCGTGCTATTCATATCGGTGATACAGAATCGCATCGATTCATGTATGGATCGCACGATGCAAAAGCATTTCCAATTCATCACATGATACAAATGGTTTTGGCTTGGTAAATGGTATCAAATTGTGCAATTTGAATCACTATGCTTCTGGCCATTATGAAGAAAAACTACTTTAAAAGTCTTTACAGTCAGCAACAATAACACACATCAAGTATCAATTCCCACCAAGGATGATAAAATAATCTTTCAATAAATCTCAATGAAAATTTCCAGATGTTTCTGTTTTTCTGTTCAGACCTGTCAAAAATGACACTATGATATGCACATACGCCAGTAGACAAACAGGTGCTCCCAAAAAAATGACTATACCTCTTCAATGTCTTCATTATTATAAATGCCATAACGGAAGGCCTGACTTAAGTTATTTGCTAAGGTTGCAACATCATAATCCCGATCTTGGTAATCATCCTCATCGCTGTCCCTAGTTCGGTCATGCAATGCTGTTGGTCTCCTGCAACAATCAATTAATTTAGAATCGTCAGGTAGGTCTCTCAGAACATACACAAAACTACCTGTTATGACCATACAGAAGATGCCCATTAAAGAGGTATAGCCCACGCTGAAGCTGATTCAAAATATCATAACCCCGACAATAATAAGAAAAAATTTCAATAACAGAAATCAAGATCATGGTCAAGCTCCTGTTGCTTCAAAACATGTATTTCACATGACAAATCTGAAAAGCATAAACCATAACTCTTTCAATTATCCTCTGTCATGCATGATTGATATTACTTGAATTTGGCACTGGTGCCACTTAACGCAGTACAGAAGTGCAAAAGGGATTCAAAGTAAGGACTAGGTATTGTTCTAGAATAATATATAGAAATTCTGGTTTTTCTACAAAACAAGGAAAGGGCTTGGCAATATCTACACATAGCAGGCCTTTTATAGTTATCTTAGAATTATCTTAAAATTAAACTTTAATTCTATCATCATTACCATAAAATTAAAATTAATATACAATTATAGTTGACCCCCATTTGTCCTGCATCATGGTCACAAAGTAAAGGCTCTTGTATCAATAACTTCATTAGCAAAGATCACGATGGCTAGTCAATGTTATTTCTGTAAGGACAAGGAAACAATATATCAATCCTCAGTTCGTATCTTATTTTAGATATCGAAGGCTTTATTAGAAGAGAAAAGTACAAAATGAAGGAATCATCCCACAACAGAACAAAAGAACAAAACAGAAGACAAAAAGAACATAGGTTCAACATTTCAGAAATCCCCTAAAAAACCCTTTGGTGGAAACCTAAAAAGATAACCTTATCTTAATAGAAGGACACACACAAAATTTACTTGAGAATTCATGCATCCCTCTGTTACCCACTATTATATATTCCAGAGCTCAATGTTCTTTCGGTTCAGTTAGTGATGGTATATTCCCCAAATAGAAAATTTTGTGCTTATTAAAGAAGGTCAAAGCACATTATACTTTGGAGATTCTATCAGTTGCTATAATGTTAAAGTTTATGGCTTAAGAGAAGAGGATAGGTTTTCACTCTGGAGTAAAATCTCTGGAGATGGATTTCTAAAATGTGTGATGACATTCAGAAGGAACTGCTAATTTTAAATTTTCAGCTCATTCAGATGGTGCACGCAGATCAACCACGGAGTAGAAAGAAATGTCAGTTAAGAAATACAACATACCCACACGCCCATTGATAGACATTTTCCACAGCATTTCGGTTTGATAGAACATTCATGTACCAATCTGTCCATTCACTATTTCCCTGTCAATTTAAAAAGTTTGAAAATGAACTTCAAGATTATGTAGTTAACTTTTAACAATCATTTTGTCATTAAATATTAAAACAGCAGGTAATTACTTGCTGGGAAAAGAAAGAGAATTGTTTAACAGATACCAAACAGTATACCAATACAAGTTTAACCACTCAAAAATCCTACCACAGAAATTGCTAGGGACATAGTAACGGACCTGCAGATGTTCCTGAATAACACTGTTGTTATTCCCTAACTGGACAAGTTTGTTAGATAAACGGGTTAAGTGTCCTATGCTTCCTATCCTAGGCTGCGATTTACCCTCAGCAGGTATTGTTGGCTGCATGAATATTTGCAAGAACAAATTGAAATGTTAAAACATATATTCATCTGAGTTCCGTAAAAGTTGTATCAAAATGCAGACAAACATGACAAATTCATTCATTATGATATAAAATAATTTCAAGGAGAAAGAAAAGAGATCATGTACCTTGTTTGTATCAGCTTCCAATGTAAAATGCTTTTCTGCTTGAATAATTTTCCCAACAAAATCACAATCAAGGAGAAGATGTTCCAGAAGAGAAGAATTCTTGCTCTCCAAGCATGATATTATAATAGTTTCCACATGGTGATGCAGAAAGTTATTGTATGGGTACCTATAACATTCAAACAGTGCATAAACAATGAGATCAAATGACTGTAGCACAAGATGACAAAATTGCTAAACTTACTCAAAGAACAAGTGTATAATTCTTTGTACTGCTCCAAGATCAATCAATTTCTTCTCAGCAGCGTCACTACCAGCAGTTACTAAGACTGATATAAACTCTACAACCTAAAAGAACATATGTTCACAGTTAATACCGTGGCAAAGCGGCAATATTACTTTTCAACATCTTCAGAAATCATTTACCACAAACATATTAAAAAGGCAATTTTAAAGGTATTATGACAGAAAATGTTAATACTCAACTACCAATTACCAACAGATTAAAATAGTCAAATGCAATAAGTCTGAATAATTAAATTACCTTTAAACGATGTTTTCCAAGAGGTGGTTGTAACTTGCCAAAAGTAGTTAGCAAGGTATTTTCAGCAGAAGAAATATCTAAAAGTTTGAGTAGATCACCTGCAGAATAAGAGTAAGATCAGCGTTTATTTTCTCCCATAAAAACACTTGAAAGTATGAATATATTGTATTCAACTGTATGTAAAACTGTACAAGAGTCCTCTATTTAAAGAGATTAATTGACCTAATGGGCTTACCAAATAACCTTCTAGAATAAAAATAAAATAAAATACAATATTATTTCTAACACTCCCCCTCAAGCTGGTGTGTATATATCATAAGATCTCATCTTGTTACATATATAATTTATTCGAGGACCTGTAAGAACCTTGGTGAAAACATCTGCAAGTTGATCACTGGAATTGACAAATGTTGTCTCGATCTCTCCTGATTGAATCTTCTCTCTAACAAAGTGACAATCAATTTCTATATGTTTGGTCCTCTCATGAAAGACTAGGTTAGAGGATATGTGCAATGCGCTTGATTGTCACAAATGAGTTTCATGGGTCGTTGATCACAGAGATGTAATTTCTTAACCAATTGTTTTAGCTAGATGAGCTCACAGGTTGCATTTCCCATTGCCAGATATTCTGCCTCTGCACTTAACCTGACGACCACCGTTTGTTTCTTACTCTTCCAAGAGATCAAATTTCCTCAAGGAGAACACAATACCCCGAGGTGGATCGTCTGTCTGAAGGCGAACCTGCCCAGTCAGCATCTGAATAGCTAGACACCTCTGCATTCCCATTATTAGTGTATAATAAACCTCTTCCCGGTGCTCTTGATATATCGGAGAATCCTGATAACTGCATCCCAATGAGAGTCACAATGAGTTGGGTTGGGTTGCCCAATTCCACGAGCAGGGGCCCTAGTGCCATCAGCAAGAGTAACAGAAGGTAGATTATTAGAATAAGAAAATGAAGTAAAGAAATCCTTATTACCACAAAGGTGATTAGTAGCACCTGAGTCTATTATCCAGGGTCCAACAGATGATTGAGAAAGACAAGCAATGATTACCAGTGTCTTGAGTAGGAGGATGGGAAGAAACCTTCCTCAGAAGTGTCTCATAGTCGGCACTCGAAAGAGTTACTAATCTAGTAGAAGGTGGTGTAGCATCAGTCTGAGCAAAGTTGGAAGTTGGTGGCTTCAAGTAAAGGTATTTCCAATAGCAACGTTCTTTAAAATGTCCCAAGGTTTTGGCAATAATTGCAATGAGGGCTCCGTACGCGGCCACCCTATCCACGGCCACGTCCGCGAGCACTGTTCCAATTGGAATCATTGGCACGAGAAAAGAACGCAATTGAATCGATGCCTGACACAGACTAGGAGTCTAAGCACTGGTTAGAATTAGGGATGGCAATTTGGGTTGACCCGCTCCGACCCACCCTGACCCGCCACCAACCCGCCAAAAACGGGGCGGGGCGGGTTGACCCGCCAAAAAATATGGGTTGGAAAAATGAACTCACCCCGTTTTATGGTGGGTTGGCGGGTCAACCCACCAACCCGCCAATTAAAAAAAATTAATTAGAATTCAAAAATAAATTATATTTTATGAATTTTTCTAATATTATTTTATTTTATTTCACACTTCTCTATATTTTTTTAGTCTCAATCTTAAATGTATATTAATATTTGTCAAACATTCTTTAAGAATTTATATATAAATAACATTTGTCATAAATAAAATTGTTATTCTTTATTTTTTTTAGGGAGTACAAAAAAAAAATGGATATCACAAAAATTTAAGGACTAATGAAATACTACCTAATTGTAAAAAGAAAAAATAAAATTATAACCCGGCGGGTTGAACCCGTTTTGACCCACTTCTAGGCGGGGCGGGTTGAGGTGGGTTGGTGGGTTGAAAACCTCAACCCAACCCGCCCCGTTTTGACAGGTTGACCCGTCGGGCTCAACCCATATTGTCACCCCTAGTTAGAATATTCTCACGAACACTTTCTAACTCCTCTGAAAGGCCGCAAAGGGTTACGACCAAAAAGAAACGCTCCACCTGCATCTTGTACGCAGAGGCATCTGCAGCATGAGGTAACATAGCTAAGAATTCTTGCATCAAAGAACGAATCTTACCAATATAAGTCTCCATTCGAGCATCCGGTGATTTGCGCAATTCCATTATCTGAGAAACAATGGAATAAAGCTGCTGAATGTCATTGGTGTAAAGGTTTTTGGCTTCCTCCCATACGTCATAGTAGGTCTCAAAGGAGATGAAAATGTCTATAACTGCAGGATCAATGGATTGCCAAAGGATACTCAGCAGTTAGGCATCAATCTTTTCCCATTCAGAAATCTGATCCTTTGGAATATCAGCAGACTTGATCGTGAGATATTTCCCGTGTCCCTGACCAGTAAACCAGATCTTAACAGAGGTAGATCAGGTCTTGTAAGTAACAGATCCGGTCAGTTTCATCGTTGTAATGGATGAGGTAGTATTGGAGATGATGCTTGTAGTGTTTTTGAGAGTATTACTTGAGCTCTCCATCACAAAAATAAAAGAGATGAGCAGAAAATAGCAAGGAACTACAAGAAAGCAAGAAATCGCGCAAAAACATTGCAAAAAGATGTCCAAACAGCGGGTTTTCGCCGATATCTTCGTAACGGATGGGACCCCCAACGAAACGTAGACCAGATCTGGAAAGAGGACGAGAAGGCGAGCAAGACGGTGGTATCCGGCCCGGAACGGTGGTCGGACGGTGGCTCGCGCCGGACAAGTGACTCAGCCGCCGGAAGATTCCACCGGCGTATGGTTGCTCTGATGACCACGCGACTTGCACAGACGAGGTCGCCTCCTTGAGCCGCTCCTGGTCGCGTGGTTGTTGGCCGGAAAAATGCTCCGGCAGTGGTGAATAGTAGAGGATGGTGGTTTCCGACGATGAACGGAGGCTGACGATGGTTTTTCTGATGATCCGAGGTTGAGAACAAGCAATTGGTGACTAACTAAAGGGTTAGGTGTGAAAAGAGGGTTGCCAGTATGATGCACGGCAGGATAAGGTTTTTTTGCGAAAGCAAGGTTTCCCAGAACACAAGCTCTGGTACCAACTTGAAAGTATGAATGTATTGTATTCAACTGTATGTAAAACTGTACAAGAGTCCTCTATTTAAAGAGGTTAAATGACCTAATGAGCTAAGCTCAACTAGAATAATAAAATTATAATAATATAGTACAGTACTATTTCTAACAAAAACAGTCGCAATAAAATTACAAAAAACAGAACAAGCATGCATACAGACACATGGTGTCAAGATGTAATGTAATTTAAGATGTAATATAACATGAATTTTACAAGTTAGAAGTGAGTAAAAGCTTTTTAGTGGCATGTTTCCAATCTAATTTAAAAGAATGATTTTCATAGAGGCGGGGAAGGGGGATGCAATGAAGCAATCGTAGGAAGGAAACAAAAAGATGCATATGAAGATGCAAGATGAATTGCATTTTGTACATGTATCATGTATGTAGACAAATTATTCCCCCCAGAACATAATGTCAAGCCACTCAAATATTAATCACCATTGTCTGCATATATATCAGAGTCAACTCCAACTCTAGAAGGCATATTACATTGCAAAGATAGTCCTAAGCAGCAATGTACAAAATGGAAACTTGCTGCTATGGTGGTCAATTAAAAACACTATATAGAGCTCATACATTACAATACTAACAAAATCATATAGAAGTTTATATCTAATTTGAGACTGGGAAATAATAGGTTGTTCGAAGGCAATGATGAAGTCTTGTCTTACCCACGCTTTCTAGCATGCCTTCAACAGTCTCAGGATTAGCAGTTACAGTGGATCCATTAGCCATTTGGCGGTTATATGTATGATAGGCTCCAAAAGTAAGTCTCTTGGGGTCTAACAAAGATATGCATACAGATAAAGAGTTGACAAGAACAGATTTTGGCCGAGAGTCTTCCAGAGCATGACGAAATAATCTACCTATAAAGCTGCAAGTAGAAGATATAAGATATTAATCAAAGAAGAAAATGATGCATCAACTTCAAGTCATTAAAAACTAATGTAGGCTTGCATCCACAACACATCAACAACATCACATTTATCCCAAAATAGTTAGGATCGACGGTCAGATGAAACCAAATAAAAGCAAGAAAAGATTGAGGGAATAAAGCAAAAATATATATATAATAATAATGAATAAAATATTAAATATTAAAAAATAAACAGGGGAAAAGTAAATTAAAGAGGAAGATAAATATAGGGAAAAAAGACTAACAAAGACAATTGCACTATCCCTCCACAATACTAAGAGCTTTCATCCACTCCATCCTAAGGCACACTATACTCTATAAATTAATTTATTTCTTATTCCATTAAATTTTGTTTTACTACTTTCCCTCAAGTTTCGGCCAACATCGTCCTCTCATTGTGTCATGCTCTTGAAAACAAACTTATGCTTTTACAGGAGCATCTACGGATCTTCAAATAATATGCCCAAACCATCTCAATCTATATTCTCTCATCTTTTTAGCCACCGGAACTACTCTTACATTTCATCGAATATCTTCATTTTATATCTTACCCATCCTTGCATTCATAACACAAAATATATATATATATATATATATATATATATTTTGGAACAAGTTTACCTTGGGCTGGAGATTTTGGCAGTAAGACCTGCCGGAGCAAATCGTGTAATGGCACAGAGTGTTTCTGCTGCATTAGCATGCACTTCTGGAGAATCCTGTAAAAGCCACACCAAAGGAATGTACAGACAATGTGAATGTATATGCTGAACTTCTTAATATGGAGAATATGGTTATATATATTATCCTTACACCATTTATCCATTCATGCTTCCTAGAAGACTATCAAAACCATCATTTATACCTCAATTGAAGAAAAACATGATGATGGTATAACAGTGTCACTCCATAAATAAGTCCAAAAGGGTACCGTTATTTATTATTATAAAGTATGAACTATTGAAAAAGGCAGTGGCAACTGAAACGTCCTTAATGATTATATGTTCCATTTGAGCATAGAAAATTATATAGTATCAATGCATAAATATTCACATGTGTAATCTACTTGTTGGCATCATAAATCAACTTAAAAATATTACTTTTTTCCATCCAAATCCAGTAACACATCTTTTGAATTTAAAATATAAACATATCCCAATCCTCCTGTAGGAATTTTATTAAACTGATACTACTTACTGAAGAACTGAACTTGTCAACAATCATCTCAAGCACATCAGTGTCTTCAATCCACTGCATTGCATCCACATGGTTTACATACATATGCTCATCGGCACCAATCAAGCGTATCAAAACCTGGTTTTTAAAAGAGAAAAATTACCACTAAAATTACAAACACACACACACGAACAGAATATAAAGAGGAACAGAAATTCAGTCACCAATGAAAGTAAATGATTTTATAAGATTTAAAAATATTAATTCCAATGCATGTGTATCAGGAACAAATACAAGTAAAACAAAACACTTTGAACATACAGCAACCTGAAGAGAAAGCTTAACCAGGGAGTGCAGCATTAAAACAAGAAACAGATGTTACCAAAAACCAACCTCCATGATAGATGTAATTCCAATCAACTCAACCAGTTTCTTCACAATTTCCTGGTGAGCCTGGATAAAAAAAAGGACAATATATCAGCCAAACTGATAATTGCAACTCAATGTAAGTATAATGCAGCAATGAAAATAAGCAGTCAATCCATTAGTAGAATGTAGAACATTAGAAAACGTTCTTCCAATTGTTCCGTCAATTAGCTTCCTTCAATATCCACACTTAACACATGCCTCACACCTTTTGCTTTTGCTGTGCTATGCAAGAGGAGGACAATCTATTGGGTATTCTTTAAATTCACACATCACACCTTTTGCTTTAGTTTTGCGCTATTATAAAAGCCAGAGCAAGAGTGAGGAAAATATGTAGCATATTTTTCAAGTTCACAAGCTTTGACATCTATTCAAACTTTTATAACATGAGTGGTATGGAGAACAAAGAGATGAGAAATAAACATGTTATTTAACTTGGTTCAACCTACAGTAAAGCATAGCCGAACATCAACAAGCAAAAGAAAGAGAAAATTGACTAAATATCGACGAAGATTACAATGTGTACTCAGCACTCAAACCCTAATTTCAATACACCCAAACGCTCACTTGTGAAAGAAATTTCACAACACTCTGCTGACCTAATTACTGAATTTATGTTACACACACATATAGGTCCCCTGCATCCACCACATAAGTTACTTGAAAATTCAGTGTCAGGTTGCAATGCTAGCTTGCCAGGTCAGGTCACGAGACAAGTCAAAGCTCAAAACAAAGTAAAAGACAATTATAATCATTCTTCCCATTCACTTGTATTCTCATCATCATCAACAATGAATCCCCTCAGGACTCCCAATCCCACTATTTGCCCTTGAAAGGCACTACTAGGTACCACAACATATTCCAACCAAGTCCAAGCAATGCCTAAACTTGCTAGCAGGGAAAGCTTTGATCATCATATCTACTGGGTTCTTATCATGAGTAGAAATCTTCTACAATAGTCCCCCACATAACAATAATTCAAACAAAGTGATGTCTAACATCAACATGCTTGGTCCTCTCATGATACATCTAATTCTTTGTCAAATGTAAAGCACTTGGACTGTCACAAAACACTACTGTCTTTTCCTGCAACAACAAAAAATCAATCATTAGACAAGGCAACCACACAGCCTTCATTGCCACCTCTGGTAGACAACACAATTTTAGCTTGCAAGGTTGCCTTCCAACTAAAAACACTGCCAGCAAGAGTAATTAGATAACAAGCTAGAGACCTCCCCCACCATCCAATTCGCCTGAAAATTGTAGTGCACGTAGCCAAGATCTGTGTGCTTCATCTCAGCTCTAGAAAACATCAAACCAGCATTAGTAGTATATCTACCAAAGAATCCATTTCAGTGCTTTCCAATGCTGTCTCCAAGACATGTCATATACCCACTAAATACACTTGACAGTTATCCACTCCAGTAAGATTTGATGTAACTAAGTGCATAAACAAAAAAACCGGAGAAGAGAAATAGATACAATTTAACATGGTTCAACCTACAATGAACTATAGGCCTACATCCACAGGCCATATAGAGAGAAATTCACTATGATCAATGAAGATTACAATGATTAGTCACTCAATGCTCAATCCATAAACATTATCAGCCAGGTTCCTCAACTTCCACCACGCATACCCTAGAAAAGTCCTTGTAGGGTCACATGTTGGGTCAAAAGGCCCGTAATTAAATACAAGCCTCATTATAATACCCATTTTAAAAGGATACAAAATCTCTCTCTGAACCAACACCCTAAAAATAGCTCACAATATTTTCTGAACAATGTACATACACTCTAAGAAGAAGCACTAACATTTTTCCAATACCAATGAAATGAGAAGGAAAACAACTATTGCTTCTCACAATGCCTTAATGTGTTGCAAAGGGTATTATTTAGAGGCTTTAATTGGTTAGCTTTCTTTGTGAAGGCAAATGTCAAGACTACGAGGGAACTGATCATCTTGGAAACTAGCTAAAAAGAAAGTCATTTTGGTTGAGTTTACTCAAAAGGCTCAGGGGTAGTAAACACAAAAACTTTATATTCCTTTTCATGTAGCAAGATTATACCTAATAGGCCTCACCAGTAAAAAAAATAAAAGAGAAGATATCAGAAGATAGGTGTCATATGCACGAGAGCAGCGGAGAAACTACTGAAATGTTCTGATTCATTACCACGAGAAGGATAAGTCAGCCTCTTTAAACAAACCACCATACACCAACAACTGGCAGGTATCATAACCATATTCTAATTGATATCTTCCCAATTCATGCAATAGTATTGTGATAAAGAATTAAAAATTAGGATAAAAAATAGGGAGACCAAGCTCCTTACAAGCAGAGGTAGTCCTCTATTAAAACTAAAATGCAGAAGAGAAAAACAAGATAACAATGGATATTCTGCAGCTGAACAGAATAATTGAACCCACCCAAACCTGTGCTCCTCACTCAATTCTTGCCTGCCTTCTCTCTCCTCCTTCACCATTTATATTCTCTCCTCCACCCCAAAAAAAAAAAAAAATTCTGATATCATATCAGGATTCCCTTCTCCACTCAACATGTGGCAGCTGCCCCTGTTGTTACGGCCTTTACGCTCAACCTGTGAGAGCAAGGTTGTCAATATCGCGATCTAAATTGCAAGATCGTCCGATTTCACGATTTTTTCTTCATGACCAATTTGAATCATATGCAAAATCATCTTTAAATAGGATCGTTATGAATCGCCGTGCAGAACCACAAAAACGGTGGGATCGTGCTGGACAACCCAAGAAAAATGAGCAACTCTTTCAGTAAGACCCACTCATTTTAAAAAGGCAGAACCTTCTCCAACTTCGTATGGGTTCTTTTGTGCCATGAGACAAAAGGAGAGAAAAATTGGAGAAGGAAGAAAGCATTCAAAAGTAGAGTTTTAAGTCTGGAGTGAGAAAAAGAGATTAGAGAGAATTTAAGAGGAAACTGAAATTTCAAAAGAGAGGGACTTTTAGTAGGTTTCATTCCCTGATGCATTTGTTGTCTCTTTATTTCCCATTTAACTCTCCTATTCTCTCTTCTTACTTCTTTCTATTTTTATTTTTTTTAAATCCTTTTATATTTTGAGAGAATTTTCAGTTATCATCTTTATCTTTTTTTTTCTTTTGTAAGTTAATCTTAAATCATATATTTATATGCATAAATATTATTTTTTAATATTTTATATGCACAGTTATGATCTTACGATCCATGTCGATTTTACGATTTACGATCTTTTTACCCCCTTCGATTTTAGGTAAAATCACAATTTTAACAACATTGTGTGAGAGGACATTTTGTTATACAAATCGCTATTTGTTACTGATTCCGTATAACAAAATCAGTAACAAACTTGAGGGATTTACAGTAATAAAACAATAATACAGCACCTGTTTTTTTTGTCAGTATCCTATCATGTTACAATACATTCTCAAAAGAGGACACTAACGAAAAAATTATATTTGTCATACCAACTAATTAGCATTATTTAAAAGAAAATACATCATGTTCTACAATAATACTTGCACACTACAGTTCAATATAATAACCATATGCCATTGTAAGAATTATGTTTCTGTATGAAAAAATCTAAGACGTTATTGACTTACTTGAACATATTGCATGAAAGGAACTGTCTTGCGTAACAACAGGCACACAGCTACCTAGCAGCATAAGAACTTAATAAATACAAGGGCCAAGATTATTTGTAGAAGGAACTTAAAAAAGGAAAAAAATTAAGTAAAAAGAGAAGGAAAAAAATTAAGTAAAATGCTAAGTTCAGATTTCAAAGAGGAAGTATTGGCCAAACTCAACCAGGATTAGTTTTTAAGTCACAAATAATTTTGGGGTCATAAAGCAACCGATTTACTTTTGGGAAGCTCAATTCTTCCTACACCAAAAGTAATTCTCCAGCATAAGTAAAAACTTCAAAGCTCAATAAATCAGTACCTTGCTAAAATATCCAGCTAGTAGGTTACTATGGCAGTGATTTGGCTCCAAAAAGGAGAACAACAAATTCATCAACTGCCAAGAAAGAATTCAGTCATATCTTCTAAAAAATATTGCCCGGTAAAAAGGTTTTAAAAGTTATGATTTCTTACTTCCTCATCCTCTATAAGAGTTTTGAGTATGGTATCAACTTCACAGGTAAATACCTCACAAGCAATAAAAGGAAACCTGTTACAAAATAATAGCAACAAGATGTATCACGGCAAATATCTATCTGAACAAAAACGTAAGTCAATCTCCAGTTTGAGCAGCCTACTTAAAAGTTCGCTTCTTTTCAGCATCCTCAGGAGCTTCTTCTACAATGTATCGTATCAATTGTTCAACCTGTACTCTTCCAGACAAACTGCAATAGACAACATAAAACTGCATTAAGAGCCAAAAGAATTAAAAGACTAGTGTAGTTAGCCAATCATATAATAATAAAAGACCATGGTTGAATGGAACCAATAAGGGAATAATTTATCCAAAACACAACTCTGCTATCAGTATCCAAGACAAAGGAATATATAATTTAAAACCTTGAAGCAGAATAAGATATTCCAGAGTTTACTAGATAAAAAATTACAACTTTACACACACCAACTACATACTTCAATTGGGGGGTTTGTTCACCTAAGAAATTAAGCATCTATAAATATTTTAGAAAAAAAGAATGAAGCAATTCTATTTACCTCTTTAAAAAACAAAGTCATAATGGGAGCCAAACCAAAGAAGCAACCCTCACCCTTCCTTACTAACAATTAATAAAGACTGAAGTACAATTACTAAAACTAGAGTAGGAAATGGGAATGTCTGTTAAAAAATACGCTTAATTAAGGTTATCCTTACTTGTGTTTTCACTCTGTTCATATTAGTCCTTACTTTTTCAGTTTGTTCATTTTAGCCCATCAATTTACCAATTACATATGATGTTGTCCTTATAGCAACTTTTCATCCAAGTTATTTGTTAAATATTGATGTCACATTGAAACTTTGTTAAATATTGATGCATCAAACGGCTATCAATGCAATAGTTGTAACATCCCAAGGGCTGGCAAGGGCAGGGAGTGATCGCCAGTGCAAAGAGGCACGGACAATGAGCGGCTCATGCCAAATCTTGCAGCTGGAGGGAGGGGGTACATGAATGAATCGAATCAACACCTGAAAGAAAGGAATTCCAAAGACTGTGCAGGTATGGGACTGTACAGTTGGGATAACTTTTAAGAATTAATTGGCACTACCTATACTAACAAAATGCATCTACTTTTCAGTAGGCCAGAACGGAAGAACTCCATAGTTAAGCATGCTTAACTTGGAGCAATTCTGGGATGGGTTACCTCCTCGGAAAACTTCCCAAGAAGTGTGTGAATGAGAACAAAACACGCTTAAAAATCTCGTATTAGTTTGTGGGGACAGTCATTGATCTTGCAAGCGGTCGGGCGTCTCAAGTGGTATCAGAGCAGGGCCTCTCTCCCAGTAAGGTGTGGTTCGAGGACGAACCAGGCAGAAACTGGTGGGCATGTAACATCCCAAGGGCTGGAAAGGGCAGGGAGTAATCGCCGGTACAAAAGAGGCAAAAACAATGAGCAGTTCATGCCAAATCTTGCAGCTGGGATACATGAGTGAATCGAATCAACACCCGAAAAAAAGGGATTCCAGAGACTGTGCAAGTATGGGACTGTACAGTTGGGGATAGCTTATAAGAATTAATTGGTACTACCTATACTAACAAGATGCATCTACTTTTTGGTAGCCCGGAACAGAAGAACTTCATAGTTAAGCGTACTTAACTTAGAGCAATTCTGAGATGAGTGACCTCCTGGGAAGTTTCCTAGGAAGTGTGTGAGTGACGACAAAGCACGCTTAAAAGTCTTGTATTAGTTTGTGGGGACATTCATTGATCTTGCAAGCGGCCGGGTGTTATAGTAGTCTTACATGGAAAAAATTTCAAAGTGAAACATCACTATTTAATGAAATAATTTCGATGGAAAATCTTACTTGTGTGTAAGTGATAAATTGGAGACTAAAAAGCATAAATTGATAATGTAAAGACTAAAGGAACAAAACAATTATAAGGAATAAAAACTTAATTAAGCCTGAAAAAATATAATTTTCCACATCAATAGGAAGAAACTTAGCGTCAACCTATGCATCCACAAAATATTTTAGGAAAAAAAATAATAAGAATCAATTTGATTTACATCTTTAGGAAATTAACATCACACTGGGAGCAAGACTAAAGAGGTAACCCCTTAGTTACAATTAATAAAGAATAAAACATCATTATTAAAACTTCGGAAGGAATACCAATTATAAATATTGTATTATAATTATGTTTTAAAAGCAATTTTTTAATAAAATTGTACTTTCAAAACAGTATTCATAATAAAAAATTTATTTCAAAAAAAAATTGCAAATAACAATGGTGGGAGCCTTGTGCACTGGGCTGCCCTTTTTTACATTAGTATGAGTTACACTACATGCGGCAACTCTTTACCCATCCTTTAATCTCCTCATTCCTGAACCAGAGTAGACTGTAGACAAAAGCAACTAAATTAGTAATCTCTACTGTGAGTTTTTTTTTTTTTCACAATCTTTAGGATTTAAACATGCAAAATGAGGATTATCTCTAATTCATTATCAACAACCCAGCAGACAATATCAAGTTTTTGAATCAGATTATCAAAACATAAACCGGTGTATTACATTTTAACATACCAAGTCAACAAAATGGAAACTCAAACCTATAACAAAAACCAAATTTGTTAAAAGAAGGGCTCGCTTTAGTGATTTCAAGCAAGTCACTTAATGATTTCATTCTCACCCCTTAACAATACTATGACATCAAAAGTATTAATTCATAAATTAGTATTTAAGCTAGTCTGATGAATAATATTGTAATTCACTTCACAGGGATAGTTTTTGCGCGTGCGCGCGCATATACACACACAAAAAAAAGAGCAGGGAAAGCAACAAAAAAAACACCAAAATAATTTCTAATAAGAAATACATATGTGATAGCAGAAAAGAGGCATTACAAATTTATAAGGCGACTATTAAGAGCTTTGCATTCTTGAATAATTTCATCCTCATCAAGTATTTCCTCCAAAGTAAAATTCTCCCTATCCAAAATGGTCTCCACCTGCAATATAATACGTCAAATAAACAGTAAAATCCATCAACCAATAGTATCAATATTTCATTTTAAAAATTATATCAAATAAATATAATGCTATAAAATAAAATTTACATGCAATTTACCTGCCATACAAAAAATACTAATATGAGATATCTCATTCTTATCTGGCAATCAAACACAGCAAAAGGAAACATAATACACAATATCCTAAAGCAAAATTTCCAATCTTTCCCCATTCAAAATAGCCTTAAAACATTGAGTATTTCCTCTTCTCACGCCACCACATGAGCACTAGTATTGTTCACAAGCATTCATTTACATAGTTGGAACATAAGTTATAAGACAGCTTATAATCTTACTGTTACATATACAATTGATCCCACCACCATTTGCCACGAAAGTCCAAACTTGGATTCTACTCACTATTTTTCAATTATCTTTCTCTAACTCTACTCTGCATTTCTACACTAACACCCAGAAAAATTTGCAAAAGCTGTAGAAGGTAACTTAAACATGTAGCTGTCAACCAACTCTAATAAAACCCAATCTCCCTTCAAGAACAAGAATAAAATGTGGTTTCAAGTCCTATTGGACTATCACAAGGGACATGCTCACACGTGTATGCATACGAATTGGGTAGCTATTCTCCACTTTTTACTATTTTTGTTCTGTAATATACTTTTCTTTTTTCTATTTTGGGGGATATCTTATCCTCCTTAAAGATGTGATTTCACTCTTTTTTCTAATAAGCTTAAGTTTACAATAAAAAAATTATTCTGTAGTGTAATTTACAAATCCAAGGGGGAGGTAAGGGAAGAAAGATGGCGTAAATTAGTCAACACTACTGAGAAGAGAAATGATATTTGGAATATAAAAAAATAAGTTAGAAATGCCTAAGGTACTTGTGAGTTCTGACACCAATGCCTTTTCAGAAATTCTGAGGTAAGGTATTACAGTACATCTGACAGGATAAGACATCATCCTAACTAGAAATTGAAAAGAACTGAGCCACAGTCACTCGAAACAATGCCATCCAATCTCTTTGTATATCGATGATAAAAAAACCTCTCAAGCAACATACGTGCACTGTGTAGATATTCCCCATACAAAAATGCGGGCATTTCTTTCCAACCAAATAACTGTGTAGATATTCCCCAACCAATTGTCCTCCCACAACTATAAACAAGAACCACGAAGGAAATGCAGTTGTAAAATTTTAAGACTACAGATTTTTCCCAAAGTAAAAGTTATAGACATTAAACGGAAGCTCCTCGTTTTTATCCTATCTTTACCCCACTGAAAATCGTGACTAAAATTGATCATGTAAACATTAGCGCCATTCACCTACCAACAAATAACACAAACCCTCAGTCCTCCACCCGCTCCAATGATCATTTACGTACTCATTAGTCCCCTTAATTGATCTTGATGGAATATTTTTTAAATCATATCAAGATTTTGAAAATTCTCAAGCACGGAGATAATCCCAGTGTCCTAGACTTGATGTAAAAGTAACTACAAACTGGCCAAAATATCAAAAGGCATCACTGTATAATCACGCAGGGAGATACGTGCACCAGTTAAAAATATCCGATTCTAGAATAAATAAATTGAGAGAAAAATGACGCTGAGATCACCATATAGAGTAAATTAAAAGACAATAGCTCTCCATATTGTCAAATTTTCCCGAGAACCAAACGGAAAATCAAATCACAGTCAAGAAAACAACCGGAACCACCAAAGAAACACATGAATCACTGGCCGAGGAACTTATATGTAATAACAGAACATCGAAGAAGAGAAGAATGAGAGTGCGGAACTCACAGGAGACGCGGTAGACAAACCAGCCATGCGCCAAAACATGTTGAAGTTCGAAGGAAGGTTTCCGAAATAAGAAACCGGAAAACCGAAGACGGATCTGGCAGCGCAGAAACCCTAGCGCCAAGGCCCCAAATCAAATTGGAGCAATTACTATCGGAATGGAAACCCTAGAATCGGTGGAGATGAGACGAAGAGAGATCGAATCGAGAGAAAGAGAGAGAAACCAAAAACAACCTTCAATCGCGGGAGATTGTTTACAAGTGAATAATAGCATTCCAACCACTATCATATCATCATATATATTGTGAATTTAAATTTTAAATAGCTTTTACCCAGGATTTATTATTTTCCTTATACAGATTTATTAATTTAAAGCATAAATTGGCGTAATTTATCTTTTTCTGATCAAAATAGAGAGAGAAAATTGTGGAAATGTAATATCCGCTATGATGACATGGTAGAAGTTAATATTATTAAATAATCCAATAAAATATTTTTGTTAATGGAAAATATATGGTTATAAAGATCCATATATCATATATGGGTTTATTTATATAATTATATGATTTATGTCAATTATAAAATAATAGGATGTAATATAATATACTATTTATGGTTGCTCCTCGAAAGTTGGAGGATTATGGTTGTCTACTTGCCAACGAGAAGCATTCATCTCGCCTTCCATATTTTGGCTCACTTTTTCTTTTGTGAATTTCTTTTTCCTTAAGCTTGTTTTCTGCTTAAATTTTGCAGTCACGAGGTAGTTGGGACAAACTGTCTCATTTAGAGGAAAATTTCTTAGTATTTACTAAAATTAAATATTCAGCGTATCTTATATTGAAATTAAAAAAAAAGGACTAATTTAACTATCCCATGTAAATGATGAATCGTGTGTTCTCGTGAAAAATAAGGGGATCTTTATAATTAAGGTTATGTTCTACACTTGAAATAGTGGACCAAATCAATGATTATGGGAAGTGTCATTGTAGCCTGGCCTCGCTAAATAAGATATGTTACAGCCGTTATTAGTGATACAACATATGTTGTGCAAAAGAGACAAGGAAGAGGGATATTCCAACGTAAAACATTCGGAATATATTATGTTGGGGAGTCTGATACATTAGTGCTAATATAACAACACTGTCAGTCACAGCCGCAAAGGTATAACAGGATTGGTGTATCAGAGATAAAATGAGTCTTAAATATTGGGCTAGCCAACTGGGCTGGTTAGAACACTATTAACATACCACCATTTCTTGCCTTAAGATACATTTCTTGCAATTTTAATATATAAGTATGTTTCAAATTGTTCATACTCACATAAATACTTCATACTTCGTAAATACAAATTTTACCTCTAACGTCAAAGATTTAAATCTCAGTCACTCTTTTGATAAAAACTTTACCTGACCATCGATTATCCGTGACACAAAAATTCTGTATATAATTGCTTGCATAATTTATGTACCAAACAAAATTTCCTTAATCTGCATAAATCAGTATAGATAATTTCTTCTTCTGTAAAAAAAAAAAGTCTTACTTCATAACTCATAAGCGAGATGCACGAAGTTAGTTTTACATTTTTATTATTTATCGGATCACATTTTTATTGGTTATATAAGTTTTAATTTATTTTAATAAAATAATTTAAAGAATCATAAATTGTCTCATTTTATGATGCAACCATATTATAAACTTTAATAACAACTTATAAATAGACCACAAAATAAAGAATTACTAGATGAAATCAAACCTAAAACTTATATATTCAGACAATTCAATCTTATCAGTTTAGTTCACTTTTAAAAAAATTATAAATAATAATCTTATACACTTTTGGATAAGGATTTTACCGTCCAAATGACGATAAAAGGTCCACTCCGCATAAATTGACTGATTTTTATTTAATACACATAACTTTGGTGCTATTAATTAATGAATTTAATATTTTTCAGGAGATAATTTTATCTCCTATTTATATAAAAGAAAAAGTATTTTTTCAGTTACCGGAGATAAAATTATCTCCAGTGAACTCAAAACGACGTCGTTTTAAGATTATAAGATTAAAAAATTATAATGATAAAAATTAATATAACCCCACAATATATTATAATTACAAAAATACCTTAATTTTTTTTTCCAAAAACAACGTCGTTTTGAGCTCACTGGAGATAACTTTATCTCCGGTGACTGTAGAAATCATTTACCCTTATATAAAAGTATATAGGATTCATAATTTCTTCTTCTCTATTCTCTTTACATGGCCTTATATGGACTCATGCACTTTTATATATATACATAGAAGATAATTTTATTTTTATTACCTGAAAAATATTAAATTCTTAATTAATGAAATAGTATTTAGATGATAATTTTACCTCTTATATATATAAAAATATATTATAGACTATAAATGAGAGACAGAAAAAAAAAATATATATATATATATAGATCTCTTGCACAGAAACACTAATCAATAGCATATAAGATCAATCATGTTTGAAACAAGAAAAATACGGTTCATCGTTACGGAATACTGTGCTTAGTTGCCATTTGACTAAATGACCACGTGATAAGGAAGGATGCACGAGGGAAATATTTTTTTTTATCGAGGATCATCTAATAATTTGATATTTGAGTAAATACTCTTTTTCGTTCTTGGAAATTTTCACGAGGCACAATTTAGTTCCTAGGTAAAAAAGTCACATTTCAGTGTCTAATTTTTGAAAAAAAGAGCACGTTTGTCCTTCTGTTACTGGGAATGTGACGGCTCACTTGACGGAGGCCAGCTGGAACGTTAAGTGGTTGAGTCACTAACGTTACAGCCACGTGGACATAATACGACGTCGTTCAGATAGATGCCTTGTGTCTAGTTGGATGTTTGGACAGGTGACCATTGCATGAAAGGGTTAGTGACCTAATATAGTCCATGTCAAATTAGGAACCCTAAATCAGCCTAAACCATGAAAAAAAAAACCAAAAGCTCCCCACGATGAAGATTGAAAAGAGTGTCAAGTAGAAGGTGTTTACTGGCTATTTTCTGGTGCGTAGAAGAAGATGAGTATGTCATCTGGCTTGGGGGGACCAAGTGGGAGTACGTCTTTTGGGTGTAGAACAACCTCACGGACTGGCGGTAGAAGGTGCAAATGTGGGAGGCAAACAATCGTCTATACCTCCAAAACAAAGAGAAACCCAAATAGGGCATTCTTTGGGTGCCCTAATTTCAAGGTATACATTTGTAAATTGAGTTTTGATAACTTGGAATATTTGCTTACCGTGGTTTGCAATTTTGGCAGGATAAGAAGCCCTTTTGTAATTTTTTTAGATGGGTAGATGACGTATTTAATGAAAGGCTGGAGCTTGAAGATGGAAGAATCAACAAGGTGGAGTTGGATGTTGCTGAAATGGATTTCAAGCTGAAGTATGTGGACATGATGATGAGTGAGCAATTGCAAGCTAAGTTGAATGACCAAGGTGTGAAGATTAGTGAGCAAGAACTTAGTATCAAGGTGCAGGAAAGAAAGCTGAATGACCTATACCTGAAGATGGTGGAGGAGTTAGATAGGATGGATAAGGAAATTAGGCATGTTGGTAGGGCAGCTAGGGTCTCAGTTGCTGCTTGTGTAGGATTTTTGATGATTTTTTTTTATTGCAATTGTTGTAACAATGAAATGTAGTGTACGAAATGTGTTTTTTCTTCAATGAAATGTAATGACAATGTAGTTCTATTTTTTGATGATTAAAGTTCACAAGATGCTATGATTACATGGCAATGTAGTTCTGTTTTTTGTGCTATAAAATGTGTTTTTGTGTATACTGCTAACTTCATGATATAATACAGTATATGTCAATAGCAATTGAACAAAATTATGGAGTAATACAGCCCATTCCCATACATCATATGAAGTTTATTCCTGTTATGATTCCACTGTCATGATGGGGCATAACCATTTTTATCTGCACAGTGAGGGTGGACTGATGTTATATGGTGGTACATGGACATTACAGATAAATGATAGTTGGATGTAGTGAAATATCCAGTCAAATGGTATGTTGCAAATGGGAATTTGAGAGGTGGACATTGGTACGTAATGATGAAAACTAAACCCCAATTTGGTCCCTGACAATATGTATCGGGGGCCAATTTGGTCCTGGACAAATGCCATCGGGGTCCTATTTGGTCCCTGACAGTTTAAAAATAGACATGAGTTGTTTAAAGAAAAGAGGTATTGCCAGTAACACAAACATTTAAAAATTTCATTTTAAAAGCTGCTTTTTAACCCATTACATATTGGATTGCAGCAAATGACAGTACATAAATGAATTCAGCACAGGAACTTGTAGTAAAAAAAACAGAAAAAATTTGAGAACCGAATTCCCAATGCATCAAACATGACCTCCCAATGCATCAAACATGACCTGAAGGAAATTGTAGTCAAAAATTTGACTGTACACAAACATAATGCAGGAAAAATTGGACATGGTAGCAATGGAACTCAAACCACATATGTAACTTCAAACCAGCAAATACCAACCCCAAGCATTTAACACCTGCATTATAACTCATTGAATCACAAACCTTTTCCAAAAACATATACACAGAATCAAAAAGACTCATACAGAGATTCAAAAAGCACCATACAGAGACATATTGCAGCAAAGGGAAAAAATGATATAAAAAAAAGGAACTTGTAGTCATTGAAGGAGGAACTTGTAGTCATTTACAATTCGAAACCCTTCCTTCAAAATTACAGGCCTGCCAAAAAGAGAACTTGTAGTCCACATAATCCATTCTAAAACATCCTTCAAACTATTCCCCTATTGTTTTTTTTTTTTTGCTTCAAAATACACCCATACAGAGACATATTGTGATTAAAAAAAAAGCAAGTACTTCACCTAAAGGCATTAAATACAAAAAAATAATGGGGGTACAACTGACAGTTCATACAATTCAAACAATTGGGTACTAAGGACCATTGTTGCCTATACAACAAAAATTGAACCCCTATACAAAAAACTGATCATCTTCATTCAAGCTGGTATTGGTGGCCTAAACCCAGGTGTGGCCACGAATGCCATAAGCCTGCTCCTTGTGCCACTGCTTGTTGCATTGACAGTTTCAGTTGACAATTGTTCTGTTGGTGGTGGGGCAGTAGGTGGTGGGTTGTTGCCCCTAATGGCTTCCTCAGCTGCCTGGGACTGCCTTGAAGGTCCTCCTTGACTCAGAGGGATCTCCTCTTCATATCTTGC